TAGCCTTTCTCAGAGAGCGGCGGTCTGAACGTGGGTTGCTGAACTCGTCCGCATTTGCTGCGGAAGAGAACGTCCGGACGCCCGAGCGAAGGCAGGGGCGGAGGGCTGTGGGGGCGTGTAAAAGAAATTCTACTTTGGCTATCCTGTCTGTGAATCTGGGTGTTTCCTCGGTTGCCGGGAATGTTCCTGCCTCTCCGGACCCCAAGGGCTTTGTTCGCCCGGTACTCCGACGGTCTCCAGGACGGAGTGCTGCGGCCGTTTTGACGGTCTGTAGCCAAGGCTGCTGCAACTCTTGGGAGTCTTTGGAAGCCTTTGTTGAGGGAGAAGGGTATTTTAATGATAAGCCTGGTGGGAAATAAAACTTTTCGGGTGCCCAAGCGAGCCGAGAGCTGTATGGAGCTTCTTTCCTGTGGTTTATTCGGGCAAGCCCGTAATCAGTTCTGTTCTGTACCTTCGTGCGCATGTAGTTGCCTATTACAAGCATTGCGGTCAGCAAGCGACCTCTTGCCCGTGCTGAAGGTCGCTACTTCAAGCATTGGTATCTTTCTTGCGCTCAGGGGATAGCCATGTGCCCAACGGCTTGGATCCGGTGGCCGAGACGGCGATCAGGCAGCTCACTGAGACGAACAACAAGCCCGCCAAGAAGACCCCGACAAAACGTAGCACGCTGATCATCTCGGGAGTTTCCAAGGTCTCTGGTAGTTAGCGGGGCTCCATTTCCACTCTGGGAGGTTGTTTCTGGGGATGCGTGCGTGAAACCACCCTGTCCCGTAGGGACCGGTGCGGGAAGGTTCCGGCACAGATGACTTGCTCGGCGGAACCCTTTCGCTGCTTCCTTGCAGCTTGTCATTGCTTCCCAGTGAGTGTCAAAGGTACCTCGCCAGTCTGCGGGGCAGCTGCCGGTGGGAGTTTGCAAAGGGCAGCCGCAAAAAGGGAGGCTGCTGCCGTAGCCGGTTGGGAACCTTGTGGCGAATCTAAGGAGTTTTCCTTGGACTTGCCTACGGGAGCGAGGGAGGCGCTGCGGCACCCTTTGGAATCGGCCACGTTCTGGTGTGTTTCAGCAAAAGAGCGACGATTGCGCGTCGGCGCGCTCTAGCGCCGACGATCGGAACCGGAGAATCCGCGCATAGGTGTGGATGGAAGAAGGGATACGGACGCGATCCTTTAGGCCCTGTCTTCCTGTCCGCCTGACCTTTTAACCCCCCCTCCAGGTACCTATTGCTCAAGATGAAATGGCACTTTCTCTGGGTTATGCCGCGTCCCTGGAGGCCACGGCGTACGGGGATCCTGCGGCGGAGGGCGTAGCTGACCGGATACGTGATTCCACCGAATCGTCGCGGCTGCTGGAAACGTCGCCATCGGGACAAAGAGCCAGTCAGGAGCTGGATGAGACGACGCGATCGGACGTCTCTGAGAGACCGTCGGTGGAAGATGTCGAGTCTGAAACTGGCTCCACGGGAGCCCTTGAGACCAGGAGCTTGAAAGATCACAAAGGTAAGGATGAACCATTAGATGGTAGCTAACATTAGCCTGTTGTCCTTGAGGACAAAGCGGCGTCCAAGTTCCCCACCCCGAGCGCGGGGGCTGCGGCCGGCTGTCGGTGTGGCGAAGAGCAGCTTCTGCTGGAGCCTGGAAGAGCCTGCCTCTCTCCCATGCTTCCCGCTGGAGCAGTTCCAAACTCCTCTATTTGCAGGTGTGCAATTCCTGTGGCCTTTTCGGTTTTGTCGTGGTCTCTTAGATGGGAACCCCGCGCAGTTCACGCGTTCCCCAGAACCCATTTTCGCTCCTTGGCCTCTGGGTCTGCAAGTCAGGCGCGCGTCTGTAGGTGATGATTCCCGCTCTGAATTTGGCTGCTTCTGGCACGGAAACGGAGGCTGCCCGACAACGCAGATCGTACGGGCCTCGATGCCCTCCCTCTTTCTCTGTTAGCATCCAAGCAGCTAGCGCCTCTGACCTGTTGTACCGCAGGATGTCCCGACAAACTCTCTGCTTTTAAACGATGGAGCAGGCCTGCCCCGACCGAGCTGCCGTTCTGGACTTTGCGGGCTCGTGTCGATTAGGTGGATGGCGCACCTCGGATTTGTTTGCTTGTAGCTGCAACGGTTCCAGTTAGCTACAAATGTACAGAAACGAGCGTGAGCCAAAATCTCAATTGCTCGGAATACGAGCGCGGGACACGTTTCAGGGCATTGTACTCCAGTAGCGCCAGGTACCGTTTGAACTGTGGCGGCCCCCTGTTGTTTTCACGTCG